TTGTGACCTTCCCAGCCAGCTTCTGACCAGCAAAGTCAATGTAGGAAGCTGGATTCACTTAAAGGCCACATGATTTGTTTAACAACAGCAGTGATTTGCTTAACAGCCATGGCAAAAAACATTGTAAAATCAGGCGCAACTCTCTTACAATGGACTTGCTTAGCAATAGAAATTCTAATTCCAGTAGGGGTCTTATGGTGAGGACTACCTGTGTTATCTTACTTTTCAGACACACTCCCCCCCAAAAAACCTCTTTTAACACCCTTATTCCTCCCAACTCCAACCTTACATATTTAAATTATCTGTTTGGATTCCTGCTGAGTCTATTTTCGATATGCATCTTTTCGCTTTTCGGTGAATTTCACAGACTTCTTAAAAGCTTTCGTTTTCCCCTATTATGGGGATCATTTATGCCTATATCTATTTTCCCATGTCCTCCCATCCCTCTTTGACTTCTCACTTAGGATTTCAAGTTTCAATAGGCTGCATACTTTTTGCCCAGGCTGACTGAAGCTCACCTCTGAAGTCCATGGCTAATTCCACTCAGCTTTTCTCCCCCTTTAGTCTGAATATCGACACTACCTGCCCACTTCTTCCCAGGGCACCTGATACCATCAGGCTACTGATCAGCTCCTCTCTTCGGTCCGAATTAAGTCCAGGGTAGTGGATTCTCATTTCTTATTCCCCTTTTGAAAAACACTATGGTCAGCGAGTGAAACATCTGTAGGGCCACTCAATCTGAGAGGAGTTTATTTTCCAGCTAAAATCAAGGTATTTCATGTTTCAAGTTTCAAGTTTAATTTTATTTATAGGCCGCCCAATCCCGGAGGACTCCGGGCGGCTTACAGCAAGGAAAGAAGAACAATAGAAGAAAATAAAAATAAAAAATAGACAAGTTAAAAACAACACAGATACATTCGTTTCCATCGGGGCTGGACCTCAGCAATGAGGTCAACAGCCCCAGGCCTGCCGGAATAGCCAGGTCTTAACAGCTTTTCTGAAGGGGTCTTGTATTACCACTATAGCTTGTTTTCTTGAGAACTTGTGAGATGATTTACAAAGAGTTTGGTCACATCTCTGCCATCTCTATAATATAACTCATAATTGTATAACCATAATCCATAGCAGTATTATTTTTGCTTCCAATTTCTTTTGGGGCTGGAAACTCTGCTGCTAAGCAATATGGTCGCTATACAAAACATCACATGACTACAGCAGATTTACATCACTTCTCATTTGGTGATTAAGTGAGTCACTCCTCCTGACTGGCAAGAAAGAAGTGCAACCTTGACTTGCAATTTTACTGTCAGCTTCTACATTGACTCTCCTTATCAGCAGCCAGTTGTAAAGCAAGCAAATGTCAATCAGCACAGGGACACTGCAACAGTCATTAATGCAAAGGCCAGTGGTACTCTTACTTTTTCAATGCCGTCAAGAGTTTTAGATGCTTGCTAAACAGGGCAGCTGTTAAGTAAAGCCTTTCTATTGGAGAGATGAGATTATCACTGCTTAATGGTCTTGCTGCCACATACAGGTAGTCCTTGACTTATGACCACAATTGAGCACATTTTCATGCTAAGCAAGGCCATTGTCAAGTGAATTTTGCCCCATTTTATGATCTTTGTTGCCAGCCGTTAAGTGAATCACTGCAGTTGTTAAGTTAGTAACACGGTTAAGTGAATCTGGCTTTTCCATTGACTTTGCTAGTCAAAAAGTCACAAAAGGTGATTACATGACTCTGAGACACTACAACAACAAAAAATACATGCCAATTGTCAAGCATCTGAATTTTGATAATGTGAATATAGGGATGCTACAACAGTTGTGTGAAAAATAGTCATGTCACTTTTTTCAATGCTATTACTTTGAACGGTCACTAAACAAAATGGTTGTAAGCACCACCTCTATTATTATTTTTTGTCTTGCATAGCCTTATTCTGGCTAAAGTCTCATACTGTTGAGGAAAGGGCTGGTCTAAGAATCTCAGATTTTATACAATTTTCTTAATTATCTATTCACTTTCAGGATCTTGCTTTCCTGCAAAAAAAAAAAAAAGCCCTCTTACTTTCACACCCAGCCTCTTCACTTCCTACTCGACTTTATATTTAAACCAGTGTTTCTCAACCTTGGCAACTTTAAAACATGTTGGCTGGGGAATTCTGGGAGCTGATGTTCACATGTTTAAAGTAATCTCCCTTAAAGTAATTGTCCCCTTCTAGCTATAATGCACATCCACAAATGGGAGTTAATTGCAATTAGTAGTTTTGATGTGGCTCAGTAGTCTTTCCACTTCATCTGGATGCCCTCATCAGAAAGACAGTTCATATCCTACAAAAGATATAGTTGCTCCTACCCGTCTCAATATCTCACTAGCACTCTTCCTTTTTCTCATTGAACTTTTTGTTAATTCTTTTGTAGTTGAGAATCATTTACACATTTATACCTACTGTTCTGTATGTGTCAGAATGGTAGGATTACACAATTAGAAACTCAAATTATGCTCACAGTATGTTCACCACTTTGAGTTATTTATATAAAGAAAAAAAACAAGAATTATAATAATTATATATTTATTGTGGTTTTAATATTTTTGGTTTGGATTATTTTGTTGTGTTGTTTTAGATTAAACCAGAGACTATTTACACATATAAAATGTAAGGTTTTTTTGTTCTTAGTTTGCATTTTTATTTTTAAAAATTTTAAAGAGTAAAATCTGTTTTGTAACAAAAATGATACTAAATTTTAAAATTGTACTGTTTTATATTTTTAATTATGTATGCTACTCAGACTCTCATATAGTAAGATAGGCAGCTATATAAATTTCCCAAATAAATAAGCAATTCAAATTTATATAGCCGCCCTCCACTGATATATGACTCTGGGCAGCTTACAAAGAATGAAAAAGAAAATATAAACCATAAAGAATAAGACAACCGTTTAAAAACATGGAAAATGCATATAAAAGCACATTTTAAAAAGCTTCATAAAATACATAAAACTCACAGCTATTGTGCATTATTTATTTCATAGGACTTGCACTCTTTTGACAAAGGAAAGGAAGAACAAGACCAAAAGGAGACAACAACATAAAAGAATTGGAAGGGACCTTGGAGATCTTCTAGTCCAACCTCCTGCTCAAGCAGGAGACTATATCATTCTGGACAATCTTTTCTTAAAAATCTCTAGTGATGGACCAACCGCAACAACTTCTGAAGGCAAGTCATTTTACTGATTAATTATTCTGTTAGGAAATGTGTCCTTGTTTCTAGCTTGGTTCTCTGTCTCCTTGATTAATTTGCATCATTTCTTCTTGTCTTGCCCTCAAGAGGTTTGGAGAAGTGGTGGTCCCCTTCTTCTTTGTGCTGGACTAAGAGTGCAGAGACCTGGGTTCAAGTCCCCACTCAGCCATGAATTATCCCTGGGGGATTCAAGGTCAACCTACTGATGGGGTGGTGGGGAAAAGTGCTGCACTAAGTTGGATGCAGCATTCAAAGTGTGATCTCACCTTGCAGTATAAGGCAGTTTTAACACTTCCCATGTTCTTAAAACTATCCTTTTATTGATGCAGACGGCATTTGTATTTTTTTCTTGCCTAAGTGTAAACCCTTACTTTTCTCCCACTGAATTGCCTTTTGTTGGATAGCTGTCGTGTTTTCAGTCTGTTAAGATCCTTCTGAACCTTCAGCCCATTTTCTGGAGTATTGGCTATTTCCACCAACTTGGCGTCATCTGCGAATTTGATGGTTTCCCCTTCTATCCTCTACTGCAGGCTACTTCTGCTGACTGACTGCAGTTTGGCAGTTCAAGTCTAACCAGGCTCAGGGTTGACTCAGCCTTCTGTCCTCTGGACGTCGGTAAAATGAGGACCCAGATTGTTGGGGGCAATAGGATCCTTAGGTTCTGTAAAGCGGTATATAAGTCTGGGTGCTATTGCTATCTTCCTTCGTTCCCAGTGGTTAGAATACAGCATTGCAGGCTAACTCTGTCCACAGCCAGCAGTTCCACAGCCAGCAGTTCGAGTCTCGCCAGGCTCAAGGTTGACTCAGCCTTCCATGCTTCCGATGTCAATAAAAGGACCACCCAGATTGTTGAGGAGCGGGGGAGTTGTTAACATCTGTAAACTGCTCAGAGTTTTGTAAAGCAGTATATAATTGCTATTGCTCCTGGAAGAGTACTGGACCCGACAGAACCTTGGGATACCCCACTAGATACTTCCCTCTAGGTCCACACAGCTCCATTGAGTGTACTTTGTCAAGTTGAGCTGTTAAGGACTGACATTGAGTGATGGGTAGGTTTTCCAAGTGACATTTGGGAGGCTCCCTGTGAAGGGGATGCCTGAGAATGGGGAGAGGCAGGGACTCCCTGGTGGCCTCTGGGGAAGGCATTGAACTGGCACGACGGAGACCGAAGCCTCCTTCAGAAGCTCCCTCAGCGCAGCTGGGGCCTCATGTTCGCCCAGTCTACCTCGCAGGTTTGTTGCTATGGAGAATTAACAGGAAAAAGAAGCCCCATCGAGATCTTGAAGGAACGGCGGGGCAGTAAAAGGAGGAGAGCTTGCGAGGCTGAAGTGACGAAAGATCCAGCCTCCAGCTCCGCTCGGCCTGCCTCACAGGGGTGTCGTGATGGCAGGCGGAAGCAGGAGGACGGAGCAGGGCTTATTTCGCGGCTCCGAAATAATGAGGAGCCCTCACAACTCGCGCTACTCGCCCAGAGCGCGACGCCCGCTGAGAGGTCGATGGCGATAACAACGTCCACCTTTTACCTCAGACATTGGCGGGAAACGGCAGCGGAAGTGGCGACGCCCTTTTCGCGCGGTCCCGCCCCTCCGCGCGCGTCCTTTCTGTTAGACCCAGCCCCTCCTCGGCGACGGCCAATCAGAGGGACAGGAAGGAGAGCTGCCCGGCAACGGGAGGCGGGCCGGCGAGGGAGCCCCCCCCTTCTCGCGGAGATGTTGCGGACCGAGAAAGTGCTGCTGCTGCGGAGCCTGCAAGGCCGCTCCGTGCGGGTCGTGCGTGAGCACTACCTGCGCCTCGACGTGCCCTGTGGCAGCGCCCTCTGCCGGGCGGGCTGTCCCCGCGGTGCGTTGAGAGCGGGGGCGGAGCTTCGAGGGGGCGGGGCGGCGGCTTTGGGAATTGGATGGTCGTGGGAACGCCGTTCTCTGCCTTCCCGTGTGTGGGCGGGGCTTGTGAATGCGGGGGCGGAGCCAGGAAGGGGCGGGGCCAAGGGGAGGTTTTCTGTTTGATCTCAAAATATTAGTTTCATGGGGACAGTTTTGTGTGAATGTGTGAACACGTGTTGAGTTGAAAAGAGGCTTGTTGGTGGAACAAAATCACTGCTGTTGCTGAGAGCTCTTATTTCAGACCCGCTGAAGGAACTCAATGTCCATTGGAGGGAGGGCTGTAAACCTAATATTGTCGTTTAAAGCTTGTATGTTAAGAAGTCAAAGAAGAAGACATATTAGGAAGTTTTGGTTTAAAGAGAGAAAAGAAAAAAGATGGGCTTTTTTCTTTTCTTTTCTTTTTTTTAAACGTTTTAGTACTTTGAAGGAAAAGTGGTGGGGAAAAAGGCTTTTCCTCACCCACCTTTTTCCTCCTCAGTAAAGTCAAAGAATTTGAAATAAACCACTGAATTTTGGAAATAAAACTGGTGACAGTTCACAAAGACTACTAGGTTCAAATGGAAAGATGCATTATTTCCATAGCAAGGAACATGGTTAGAATTGATTATTTTATTCAAAGAGGTAAATTTGTTTTCATTTTAATTTCACTTCTGGAATTTGTGCTTGTGAAGGGGGGAAAAAAACTTCATTACTTCTCATTGAATGCAAAGGGATGGGGGGGGAGGAAAGTCAAAATGCATAAATGCATTTTAAAAGTAGGCTGTTAAACCAACTTCCTTAGAAGAGAAAGAGTTGCATTCCAGCCCTTTTCTTACCTTTCCCTCCCCAGAAGCTTCTGGTGAAAGGCTTTGAGGGTCATCCCTAAGTGATAAATTCAGCCCAGACAAGCAAATGGAAAGAATTTATTCCACGTTTTTATGGTAGCTTGCAAGAAGAAGGCTTCATGCCAAGCAGAATGGAGCTGGAAGGAAGATCAGATTGCTTTTTGCACAGTTACAGGGGCAGGAAAGGCCTTGCAAGCTATGTAGGTTGAATCTAGGAAAAGTATATAGGATTCAGGCATAAGCCAGCTTTAAACTGTAGGAAGGAAAATCCATCTGGTTCATTTCCAAGGTGGGAGAAAAATGCTGAAATTAACAAGGGGGCTGATTGGAAAGAAAGTTTATTGATGGACAGAACCACACACAAAGACAGCTGTGCAGTTTTGGGTCAGCTGAACAACCAGCTGAGAGGAAGGGTTCTTATATGGTTTTGTGCTTTTGAATTTTGGGATTTGTACAATATGGGCTTTGTGTTTCTAAAAAGGGTATTGAGCAATTCCCATGATGGCTGATGGATTTTGTCCTGTGCTGGATTTGGGTGAGGGGCTGCTTGTTATAATCCTATTACTCATCTTTTGTTAGCTGTCAAACCTTGCTGCAAGGGGTTTGGAATGGACTTCTGTTGGCAGTATTTGTTTTGCTTATGAATGGAGCCATCTAGGTAGTTGGTTTTCAATAAGGTTGTTATTCTCAAGTGCTGGCATCTGCTGTGGGCTATTAAAAAGACTGGAGGCTGCTTTCTGCCTCTAAGAGCATATTTCTCCATTTCTCCTGCAGGGAAATATAATATTCTGCCTCTTTTAATATTTCCCAAAATATTTTATTCTGCGGGGGTGGAGGGGGGCTTCCCACAAAGTAGTCCTTGACTTGCAACCGCCATTGAGCCCCAAATTTTTGTGGCTAAGGGGGACATTTGTTAAGTTAGTTTTGACCCATTATATGACGTTTCTCACCACATTTGTTAAGTGAATCACTGCAGTTAAGTTAGTCCGGGGGTCGGCAAATGTAAACACTCAAAGAGCCATATGGACCCATTTCCCACAGAAAAGAAAAAAACGGGAGCCACAAAGGTCCTAACTGGAAGCCCCCTGTTCAATTCTGAAGCTGACCGGAAGTTTGGTTCCCCCACCATAGAGTCTGCTCCTAGCGTGGCATACTTTTTCCTCTACCTGTCATAACCGAAAGCCCTATCAGTTGTGGAGACAACTGGAAACCCCCCCCCCTTTCCATAGAGTCTTCTCCTGGCGCACTGTGCTTCTCTCTCCATCCCTCACCTCCCCCACCGGAAGCTCCTCTGAAAATTGTGGTGCTGACTGGTGACGGAGCCACAGCAGAGGGAGGAAAGAGCCACATGCAGCTCCAGAGCCCCAGGTTGCTGACCCCTGAGTTAGTCACACACTTGTTAAGTGGCTCTCCTCATGGACTTTGCTCGTCAGAAGGTCTCAAAAGGAGATCATATGACCTGGGGACACTGCAACCGTCATAGATACGAGACAGTTTGGGCATCCAGGTTTTGATCACAGGACGGTGGAGATACTGCAATGATGTGAAAATTGAAAGCTGTTAGAAAATGTTTCCTCACCCAAATTGACCTTTACTAATGTCCTTTACTCACCTGTTGGCCTTTACTAATAAAATAGTGTTCTTAATAAAATTATTTCCAGATCATTTTGGCAATGCAGTCTCTTTCTCATACAAAAGATGGAGGGGTGGGGGGCAGATGACATAAGGATGTCTCCCCAGGACTAAATGTGATACGTCAAAAGCAGAGAGGTTTTTTTCCTTCATGATTGCTTAAGGATGAAATAGGATATTTTAAAAGGATATCATTCGATTGTTCTCATCAGGTATTTAATTCAATTTCTCAATGTGCATACCCTGTTGTAACTCTGGATGCAATGTTTGTAACTCTTGAACTAAACTGCTTCAATGCTGTGAACAGCATGTCTGCTTTTGATTTTTCATTAAAGAGCATGGGAAGTCCCCTTATTGATACAGGCATTCCCAAAAGATGAAGTTTGGTTTGAGGATAGCACCTTGTCTCTGACTCTTTAAAGCAGCTGCATCATTTTGTAGGATTGACTCCCACAGCCCAGGGAAAGATGCAGTTGCTTTCAATGCTGCATCTTGCCCTTGGGTGTTTCAGTGCAGAATTTGAATCCAAAAGGCTTCCCAGTCCCAGAAGAAACCTCAGTTGTACTTAGCAATAGCAGTTAGACTTATATACCGTTTCATAGGGCTTTCAGCCCTCTCTAAGTGGTTTACAGAGTCAGCATATTG